CCTTGACCCTGAATTGTAGATCTGTCTTGGTGATACAAGAAACATAACATGTAATGAAGAATAAACAAAAAAAACACCCCCAAAAAATTTTTAATTTTTCATAATAAAATAAGTTAAAATTTCAGCATCATCTGATTTTAGCATCATCTTGACATTTAATACTATAATTGCTATATCTCAAAAATATACTAGCTAACATATATCAGAAATACTAAGCAAAAATATTTAGCATCTCAAAAAAACCTTACTATAACTAAAATTTAAACCTGTATTTTTACTATAGTTTAGCAGTATTGTCGTGAGACAAATTGTAAACAATTGTAAACAATTTTAAACAAAACAACAAATCTAAATTACTTAAAAGTTTATTAAGATAAGGCTATACAAATTTAATTAATTGTTTCTCATAACCTGGCCGGGTTAAATTTTGAAAACTTTTGAAGAAAAATTTTTTATATGTTTTAATAGTCGGGTGGGGTTTCAAAAAAATTTTTTAGAAATTTTATGAAATTTTATATATAAAATTTAAAAAAAAAAACCGGCCGGCCGGGTCATTTTTAAAATTTAATGCTATGAGAAACAAAAAATTAATTTTGTATAGCCTAACCTATTTTAATTTTTTAAGCAAAAATATTCAAAACTATAAAAAAGATATAATCATGTCTTTTTTAAACTAATTTATTAAATTTTAAAATCTAAATATTCTTTGAACAATTGTAAACACTGGACATTTGGACGTGGACATAGGCAAAAAAAGTCTTGAACATAGTAGACGTGACAACACTGGTTCGAGTTTTCTAACCATAAATTTTACTAACAAAACTATTAAAATATGTGTGGTGTTGAACACCAATTGCCTGATTTAGTGCTGTCGAATAAATATACTGATTAATTTTATTTCTATCTGTATCGGTATACGTATCTCAAAAAAATCCAAATTTTTATTAAAAAATTAACTATTTTAAATATTTGTAGAAAAGGTTCTTAGAAGCAGTAAATACTGTAATACAAATGCTATTGTGATAAAATACAACCCTTCGTAAATGCATCCCCTGGGAAAATTTTTAAAAAATGCATTTAGAGAGGGTGTGCATTTATGGGGGGCGTTTTATTAAATGCTCTATACTGAATATTAGTGTGCATTTAGAGAGGGTATACATAGTGCGTGCATTTATGGAGGGTAAGTACGCTAGCCATGGCGAAAAATGTACGGGTCATGTGACGATCTGCGGGAAAATTATCCAATAATGAATTCCGATTTTGTGTAACGTAACACGATCAGGAAAATTCAAAACAAACGTTCGCTTTTTCAAAAATTGCTTATTTCGCCTTCTGCGCTCTAATAAAAAAATTTTCTTGAGAGATTTTACATATATCCCGCTAAAATCTAACCCTAATATAAACGTTAAACCGATCATAACGAATTTTTCGACTATCACGTGACCCGTACATTTTTCGCCATGGCTAGGGTACTAATGGAGGGTTGACTGTATATCGTATAATATTAAATATCTTATCGTTATACGTAATTTAATCTTATTAAATATTTTTGCAAGAAAATATTCAAATTGTACGTATACGTATATTATTTCCGTATATGCTATTTATCACAGTTTAACCAAAATTTGTTGATTTATGGTACAATCGTATATACAATAATACAATAATACAATAAATAGTTATAATTTTAAAAACACTTCAAACAGTATACATAAAAAATTACCATATTTAATACAACTAAAGAAAATCAAATACCAAATAAACTTAATGCGCAATAGTGCGAAGAAAAAAAAAAAACAAATTTAAAATCATAAAATACAATTCAGAAAAATATATATATCTAAATTCTTTTTCGTGCGTATTCAAAATAAATAACATTTATAGAAGGAATGACTATATAGAATGGTATTTTATACAATCCTTGCACCATAAAATTTTGTGTATAAAAAATATTATAAAAAACAATTTAAGCTATCGAAATAATTAATGTGCCGTCCATCATAAATTATTTCCATGGTTACTAATAGGGATGGTAAGTAACTTCGATATTATGATATCTGCCACTTTACCCCACCATATTACCCCTTTTACCTTATAAAAATCAAAAGTTTATTAAATAAAACAATATTAGCATATTAAGTTATTCAGAAGAGCAATATATATATATTTTATTTTTAAGTCCTACAAAATATTGAAAACCAGGTTTAACTTATGTTTGGAACTTATTATATAAAAACCCTGGTTCCTAGGTTTTTAATATGGAACCTAAAAGTTTTAGAACCTAAACCAAACCTAAACTAACTTTACCATCCCTAGTTATTAGACACCATGAATCCGAAAAATAACGTATTTCTATTTAATTATTTTCCAGCTGTACTGTGCTGGCTGTGGGGTTAGAAAATTTCTTCAACCGATCCAATTCCGTTTCCACCATCTTTCTTGATGGTCCATTAGTGCTAATATTGGGTTTAGCGGACATGCTTAGGGAGCTTGCGGGCTCGTTTGGTGATAGTGGTGTTTGGGATGATCCTTGGTTAGTCGATTGATTTGTTGCTGCTTTTTTTGTGAGTAATGCTTGGAAGAAGTTTGCAAGAACTTCGTTTGGTGGACCAGAAGGTATAGCTGGTTGGGGACCATTCTGCGTACCCGCTTGTGGAGGTGTAGGTACGGAGGGCTGTTTCTTAAATTTGGAAGTAAGCTAGAATCAATATCGCACTGTGTATATTATCTTTATGATGATTAATATTAATTAAATACACTAACTTTGGGATTAGGCCTAGTTAAATCTGGCTCTGGAATATCAGCTCCGATATTAGCATATGGGTACTGAGGTGCACTCATTGGTCCAACGACTGATGGCGATGGTGGACGTTCGTTATTAGCTTTTTGTAAAGTTTCAAAGTGACGGCTGAAGAATTCTTGTTCATCTTCTGCAACAATGATTGATGGATCAGTAAGCGGCTAAAAAAAAAAAAAATTATTAATCAGTAAAGATAAAAGTATGTAATTAAAAAAAAAAACAAAAAAAAAAGGTTAAAATTTCACTTACTTTATCGTTATCTATATGAACAACAACCTCTTCATACACTTTTTTAGCGCTAATAACTTCTTCGGCATCTTCCGTTGTTTCCTTTTCACCAGTCATATCCAAATCCCAACCTTGAAGCAGTCCGTCACAATCGAAACCATCTCTTAAGCATTTAATTAGGTTCCAAGAATCCCAACCAGTGGGAACCAATACTGTGTCACGTTCAACATAATTTGGTTTAACATTGAAAGAATAAATAGATTTGGCGTCATTGGATGAAGATTTTGATCCAAGAAGTCGATGATGAATATATTGACGGAGGTTTTCGAACGTTTTTGGATCTCGAGTGGTTGTGTAAAAGAGCGCAGCACCATCTGGTGTGTTGGATGTTTAATAAGCAATGGGTTATAAATATGGAAATCTAAAAGTCAACATTTAGGATTTTTTTACTCACATTTAAGACAGATAGTTCTTAAACTTTGCTGTATGTAATCAAATTGTTCTTCTTTATAATCCATCTGTTTTTCTAACGTGGTAACGTTGTCAGACTGCAAAAAAGTTATGAATTCGCTAAGTAACATGAAAAATTTTCAAGGTAATTCTAAGAAACAAATCTCATTACCTTGGTGCAAACCACTACCAATGGCACAGCCAAATTTGTAGTCAAAACTCCTGGGCCCAAAGGTAATGCAACTTCGTCCTCTTCGGATGACGCTGGCACTGTCCCGCTCGCAGTGCTAGTATCATCGCTAACATAATTTTTAATAAAAC